TCTGCCAATAGTTCATCCCTGGGAGACTATCAGCACACACCAGACAATGCCTTTCAGCGGCAACACCACAAGCTTCATGTTGCTGGGGGTGGCACAGGCAGGATATACAAAAGAGCTTCCACTCAGCAATAACAAAAAAGGAAAACCATACAGCCAAAGAGCAAGCCACGGATTAATACAGACATTTTTCTAAGGAAGACATAACATGGCCAATATATGCATGAAAAGGTGCTCGATATCTTTAGCCATCAGGAAGACAAATCAAGCCACCCGGACAACTGAAATCAAGAATTACAAGTGTACATAAGGATGCAGTGAGTTGGAACCTTAATAAATGTCCGTAGCTCAACGCTGTGATCACTTTGGAAAATACAAGGGCACACACATCAAGAGGTTCCTGGGTAAACAGGATTACAAGGTCAGATACTAGCTAGGATGCCTATGGCCAGAGAATCAGAGTGCCTGGATTCAGTGACATGACTCGGGCTCTGGATTCCAGCTTCCTGGTAACACAGGTTCTGATAGGCAACAGTGAGGGGTTACGTAACTGGGTTCCTGCCACCTATGCGACATCTACACTGAGTTGCTGGAAGCTATCTTCACCCTCAGGTACATTTTTTTTTAGGATCTTTCTGAAACACCTTCAGTCAGACAGCTTTTCAAAATATTGAACAGTTACCATATGACCCAGAAATTCCTTCTAAGACAAATAACATTTATCCACATAAAACCTCACAAATGTCCACAGCATTATTCAAAGTAACCAAAAAGTAGAAATAGCACAGGTGTTCATCAACTGATAAATAAACAAAATGTGGTATATTCACAAAAACACTAATTGGATATAAAAGGGAATGAATTATTGATAAATGCTACAACATGGATAAACCTCAAAAACATTATGCTAAGTTAAAAAGCCTGTCACAAAAGACCATAGTTACATGACTCCATTTATCAGAAATGTTTCAAACGACAAATGTATAGAAAGTAGTTTAGTGGTTAGTTAGAGCTGGAAGTAGGAATAATTAAGGACTGCTAATGGGACCAGGATTTATTTCTGGAGTGATGAAAATATCTACCAATCACACTGTGGTGACTGGCTGCACAATACAGTGAAAACCATCCAACAGTATATACTTTAAGTGGGTGAATTCGACAGGATACAAAAGTCTCAGTAAAGCTGTTTTTTCAAAAACATGTTCTATCTCTTCCTTTCTTCCTAAAGTTATCCAGCTTTAATTTCTATAACCTTACCCCACATGAATCTTGCAATCTGTCCACACCAGAGCCCAATAAAGATGTATTTGTTATTTCAATCCTGATTCTTTTCACCATCAGCACGTTGGGGGGTATTGTGCCACAAATCACTGGCCCAGGAAAAGATAAAAATTCAAAATCGCTTTCTACAGAATGAGTGTCATGTTCGCACCATTGTGAAATCCAAAAATTACAGTAAACCACTGGAAGCCAAAGATCATCTGCAGTTACGCCACTACTGTGAAGACAAAGCATAATCTGCAGAACTGTGCTAATGATTTGAGGCAAAGATGACCAACTATATGGACAAACCATATTGTAGGATAAACAGGATCAACAGTGAATAAAAGGCAGGCTCCTTCCTTTATCAGCTCCTGGCAACTGACCAGCTTTAAAGGGCAGAGTCTCAGCTACACCTTTTAACCCTCTCAACATTTAGTGGAGCATCTTGAACACAGATGGCACCAAATGTCTGCTGGGTAACAAGTGGATGCCTGGAACACGGCTCCCTTTACATGTAATCAGCAAACCCCAAACTTCAACAATATCCAAAGTCTGTCATAAAACAGGAAATGGAAAAAAAAAGGGAAAGAAAACCAAAATGATAGTGTATGCATTTATTTCTCGGCTACACTATTTGAAGTGTATGTATGTTTTTACTGTACTTTTTCAAGATGAACGCTTATTGCTGCCCTTACACCTGAACGAGCACTAGGCATCTTTATCTTCATGCTTAAATACTGTTTCTTTATTGCTGTCAGGTATACAGCACCATCAAGCAAAGAATTTAAATAAAATTCTGAGGTCAGCACTGTGGCACTGTGAGTTAAGCATATGTTAGTGACACCAGGATTCCCTGTTAGTAGAATGCTACCTCAAAGTCCTGCCCTACTCTGTTTCCAACCCAGTTTTCTACTAATGCACCTGGAAAAGCAGCAGATGACAGCAAGTTCCTGGTACCCTGCCCCTGCTGCGGGAGGCCAAAATGTATTTCAAGGCTCCCGACCTCAGGCTGGCCCAGAACTGGGGCCATCTGGGGAGTTAACCAGTGGATAGATGGATCTCTCACTCTGCCAAATAAATAAATACATCATCCGTCTGTCTATCTGTCTCATACACACACACACACACACACACACACACAAAGCTGCATGTTAAGACTACAAGTCTCCATGCCTTTACAGCAAGCCAGAAGGAATCAGCACAATGAAATTTGGAAGTGCAGAGGTGTAAGAGATGAGAAAAAGGAGCACTGCTTCCAGAGGACAGGGTGTTAGCAGTGGCAGAAGTCCTGTCTCAGTGTTTGAACTCTAAAGGCAACACAAACAGACTACTCACTAAAACCTCAGCAAGAGCCCAAAATCAGTGAACAGCCAAGTCTAATTTCACTATGTAAAATCTATTCCTTGACCCTGAAACACGGAGAACACATCTCCGTTAAAGCTTCAGAAATACTTTTTGCCCTCTTCCTTTTTATTCCTATCTACATGGTAACTTACCTTGGGTTATCTAAAGACCAGAAAACTTGCACATATGCCCTATTCATTCAGGCCCAGTTAGGGGATATACCAAACTGCAAAGTTATCATCTACAAATGTACCACTGTTTACATCTGCTAAGGACTTTTTTTCCCCCTTTTTTGGTAATATTTATTTATTTGAAAAAGTTAGAGAGGGGGACACAGAGAGATCTTTCATCTGTTGTTTCACTCCCCACATGGCTGCAATGGTCAGGGTTGAGCCAGGCTACAAGCAGGAGCCCAGAGCTTCTTTTGGATCTCCCAAAGTAGATGCAGGAGCGCAAGTGCTCGGGCCATCTTCCACTGCTTTCCCCAGGCCTTTATTAGGGAGGTGGATCAGAACTGGAGGAGCAAGCACTGGAACCAGCGCTCATGTGGGATGTTGGCCGTACAGTGGTGATTTTTTACACACTGCACTACAATGCCAATCCTATTAAGTTTTTACATAGTTTAAACAGGGCATCTTTAAAAATTACAAATAGTTTCGCTTATAACTTATTTTTAAATTATAATTTTATTTATATTTAATTTTATCCAATTGTTTGGAACAAGGGATTATAAAATGTACTTATGTGGGTAATTTCCCGCAATTTCAATATTCAGAAGCATATACAGGTTCAAAGAGAAAAAAATAAACAGAGAAAATATCTTTTAGGATATATTGTTACTTTGTCACTTGCTACTGTCTTAGAATTCATAGACAGATGCCAATATTTCTATTTTTGATGTTCAAAAAGGCATTCGTATTTTTCTTTTGTGTAAGGCTAATTATCAATTCATGCATAAAGATAGTATATTTTTATTCTTAATGACCCTAACATGTCAGACTTCTGCCAGTGAATACGTGCTTCAGTAACATAAAGAGGAGGCATTATTATCCTAACTCAAATAACACTGAACCAGAGAAATCAGTTAAAGACAATCTTGTCAGCTGATAGCTTAAATAAAATATATACACATCAATTTTGACTTTCAAAGATAATCAGTAAATAAATTAAAAAGTATCACTCTTCCACATTATACTACTGGCCAAGGACATGACACAGCTATTAAGTTAGTAAATTCAAAAGCTTTCAAATGCCTCATGTAAGAAAAACTGGAGATGTTTTCCCCCCAGAATAATGAGCGCAAGCTGAAAATGCCTAGTACATACTGGGAGCTTGGGAAAGACTGCTGGGAGCCAGCACTGTGGATTATCAAAGCTGCCACCTGCAACACTTGCATCTCATCTGGATGCTTGTTCAAGACCCAGCTGCTCCACTTGCAATCCATCTCCCTGTTACTGTGCCTGAGAAAGTAGCAAAAGATGGCCCAAGTACTTAGGTCCCTGTATCCTCATAGGAGACCCAGATGAAGCTCTTGGCTCCCAACTGCAGTGTGCCCTAGACCTTGGTATTGCAATCACTTGGGGAGTGAATCAATGGATATAAGATTCCCCCACCCATTCCTTATTTGCCTCCCTCCCTATCCATAACTCTTTCAAATAAATATTAATGTGTATATTTGCACATATACTACAACTCCAGACATACATGTGTGTGTGTGTGTACACTTGGTCATACAAACTTGGGTTAGGCATCTAGTCTAGCTGTTGTCAGATGCCCAAATCCCATATCTGAGCACCTTAGTTGACTACTCAGCTATTGCTTCCTGCTTATATAAACTCTGGAAGGTAGCACTGATGACTCTGCTCACGGAGGAGATACAGATTGAGTTCCCTGCACCTGGTTTCCACATCGGGTCCAGCCTACCTTAACACTGAGGATGTCTGTAGGTCATGGGGGCGGTGGGGGTGGCAGTTGTTGGGCTAACCTTAGCCTTTCAAGTAAATAAATTCTCAAAACAAAGCAAAACAAAAAAATTACACACATACAAACTTACATTAGCAAGGGGTTGAATCTGCACAAGAAAATTTATCTTAAAATCCTTATGAATTTTTCCAAACTTCTCTAGTTCTAGTTCACAGATTCACAGTGACTTAACAAAAGCAAATGGAGCAACACAAGTTCACTCCATTCAATCACAGTGCAAGTACATGTGGCAGGCAGGAGAGGAAATCAGAGAAGCTTGAATTCTAGATCATAAAGGACTAATGTTAACAATTTCAGGGTGTTACTCAGAATCCTCTGTCTGCATAACTTATCAAGTTTAAAAGCAAGCCCTCGGGAGAAAAATATCAAACAGCAACATACATGTATCTTGCCATATGGCTAGCAAAACTTACTTCAACTTGAAAAAGTTCTCCAGCCCCTTCGCAGTCATTGGATGTGATTATTGGGGTGTGAATATGCACAAAGCCATTGTCCTGGAAGAAAAAAAAACCCATATATTGGCATAAAAAACAATTTGAAAAACCTGCACCATGTCAAACCATTAAAACGACACTAATACCACCACACCAAATTTGTCCCGAATCCCTCAAACACTACTAGAGGATTACTGACACATCAGCTCAATGTTTCATTATGCACAGTAGTACAAATGCTTTCAAATTAGAAACACAGATATTACCTAATTCAAACTTTTCAAAAATATGGAAACTGAGGCCCACAGAGACTGAATGACTTGCCAGAGCTATACAATTGAGCAATGACTGAGCCAAGATGAGGAAACAGTCCCTAGACTCTGGCTTTACTATTTCCTCCTCATTTCCCTAGTGTACCAGTCACCACTCTCTCTCTCCACACACACACACACTGCATTCACTCATGCTAATGTATCATGATGTTGCTCACGTTGCTGAGGGACTACAACATGAGCAATATGAACCTTAGTTATTGTGGAAAGAAATCTCAGTTGTAATGAACCACTAAAAAGGGAGAAAAATCACAGCTAACAAATAGCAACTGAAGAAATAAAAAGCAAAAGGGGCAAAACTATCTTTAGATATCTGTGTCATGAAATTAATGGTAGCCTGGGTGCAGGCAGTGCACCTCCTTTGCCTGAAGAACTATTTGAGCACAGCAAACTCAGTCATACACAGTCCTTCCCATCAGAAGTCTGAGACCTTTCCATTAGTAAACCACAAAAGCTCTTGTAGGATTGAAACAACTCATCAACTTCAAGGTTACACTTCTTTCATTTTGACCTATGATGTAGACAAAAGGTCATGTTCAGAGTAGGGGTTTCAGGGTGGGAAAAGAGAGCTAAAAGTGAATTTTGAATTACAAAAGCAGAGCAGTACCTGTTCAGTGCAAACTTTTGGCCTTAAAATCAGTATGATAAATTCATACACACGTCTGCCAAACCCTGATTATCACTGGTAGAATAGAAAACATCTTGGTGCAATATCTTAGACCGCACAAATATAACCCTTCATGAATGCAAGACCTCTGGCTACAATGCACAGTATTCAGTCAATAGCCTACATTATGATATAGACTGATGAAGTACTCCAGCTATAAATTAAGAATCTCAGAAAGTGCACAAATATGTATCTAATTTGACAGCAACGTGCCTAGAGGTGCTGCACAGAGCACATTATAGAGAACTAATGAAACACAATCAATAGCAGTACCACATAAAATTTTTATCTCCTACGAGGCAAGAATTATGGACATGAATCATTTATTCCAAATGAATGTAGGCAACTATGAGTGTGAATGCGGTAAACAAAGAAAGTGAAAAATCAAAGGGAACAGGGGAAGGGAAGAGGAATGGGGAGGGAGGGAAAATGCAACAGCTCAATATAATTGACAAAGCTAGGAAAAAATACCAGAGGAAAAAAGCACTGTATCTCTTACAAAAATAATGTACAGGAATTTTTTAATCACACCAGGAGTGGGATTTTTATTCTTAACTAATTCTAAGCCTGTCGGGAAGGATCATCAGCTTTTTAAGCTTTAATGTTGCTAGCAAGGTTTACCAAAGTCCTTAACATTACCAAAATTATGAAGGAGAAAGTATAAAAAAGAAGACAGCAGGGCAAACAAAGTCTAACAAGAAGAAAGGGGTAAGGCAACAGAAAGGTAAAAGGGGACATGAAGAAGGAGGCATATAGTGACACTGGCAGTATCTGCCTCAGATGGTCTAGCAGGGCCAGGTCCCATACCCCTCATTGTTCAGATTCCACCTACCACCTCCCAATACACATGTACTAATACACACTCTAGAATCAGGTACTTCATAACACTCTGAGTATCCCCAAAACTACAAAATTCACATAATAAAGCCCACACATTACTAAGAGACGATTAATAAAATAGAAAAAAAATTTAAAGACTTATTTTTATTGGAAAGGCAGATCAGATTTATAGAGAGGAGAGACAAAAGATCTTCCATTTGCTGGTTCACCCCCCAAATGGCCACAAAGACAACAGGTGAGCTGATCTGAAGCCAGGAATCAGGAGCTCCTTCCAGGTTTCTTACATGGATGTAGGTACCCAAGGTTTTGGGACACCCTCAACTGCTTTACCAGACCACAAGCAGGGAGCTGGATGGGAAGTAAAGCAGCTGGGACACAAACTGGCACCCATATGGGATCTCAGCACTTGCAATATGAGGATTTAGCCATTAAGCCATCACACTAAGTCCAAAAGATATTTTTCTTTCATATAAAATAACTGTCATTATTTATTCATAATCAACAAAATGAAATGTGAGATGAATTGCTAGCCATGGAGGATATAAAAAGAAAAGCCAGTAAAAAAAATACTGACAGGAGCCCAAGGGGCCAGGCACCCTGGGACCACTGGACCCAGTAGGAAAGCATCCCCCACCTCAGGCCAGTTAACACTCATGCCCACAGGGCCAGCCCCTGAAGCTCACACTGAGAGCTTCTGCTCTTCCAAGAAGGCCAAACTCATCTCTCAACTGAAGATGCAAGAATCACGTACTCCAGTCTAGGAACAATTTTACTGGGATGTTTGAAAAATACTGCCTAAAGACAAAAAGTCTGTTATTTTAAATTTCAGTTATTCTAAATGACTCATTCCTTAAGGATTCTAGACAGTTACAATTTTAGAACACAGCAAAATATGTCCATTTTAGGGACAAACCAACTTAGACACAAAATATTTTTGATGCTCAAGCCAAAAAATTTACTCTAGACCCAGAAAGATGCTAACTTAAAGTATTGTTTAAATTTTTATCTCTTCCCCCATTTCTACATTTCTGAGTAATAATGAAACTAATCAAAATTTTGCATTTTAAATCATAACATCTTTTATGAAACCTAAATAACAAAGATATCAAATATTAGATAACACGTAACTCTCATTTAACATGCTTTACAGCATTCTAGTGTCATAATTCTACATGTTGTACATATAGGTAGTTAACAGAGAATGAGGCGTCATGAATATAGTTTCTCAGATTTGATAATAAAAAGTGAATTTCTGAAATTACTATTTGAGAGGCAGAGAAATAAAAGTGAAGGATGAGGAAAAAGCCACTATCCTATCCTTGGTTCACTCCAAAAACTTCCACAATGGTTGCGGTGTGAAATCAGGAGCCAGGAAGTCAACCGAGGTCTCCCATGTGAGTAGCAGGAACCAAATTACTTGAACCACCCTGCCTTGCAGGGTCTCTACTAGCAGGAAACTGGAATTGGGAGCTGAACTGGAACTCTAAGAACTCCATCTTCATGATTAGGCCAAAATCCTTCCTCAGCATGGCCCAAAAGTGAATTTACAGAATTCAAAGTGCCTATCTTCATAACTACCTTACTCAATACTCTAAAAATCAAGTTATTTTCAGCACTTATTTTAATTTTTTCTGCTTTCTTCTGTTATTTTTTAATTGCTTATGTATCTATAAAAGCTTTAATAAGGGGCTGGCTCCTTGATGTATAGTTGCTAAGCCTATGGCACCAGCACCCCCTATAGACACTGGTTTCTGTCACAGTGGCCGCTCCACTTCCATTCCAGCTCCCTGCTTATGGCCAGAAAAGCAGCAGAGCATGGCTTAGTCTTTGGGGCCCTGGGCCCACATGTTGGACTCAGAAGCTCTTGGTTTCGGAACCAGCCACTTTGAGAGTAAACAAAGGGTGGAAGATCTTTATCTGACTGTGTCTCTCCTTCCCTCTGTAGCTCTGCTGATCAAATAAAAATAAAATAAATCTTTTTTTAAAGCTTCAATAAACAAATGGAAAAAGTCAAGTCCATCCCTTAACAGACAGCCAATATTACCACCTAGTGGCCAAAAATCAGTAAAGCTGTTTCAGAACTAAAGCAGTCCATTTCAGCAGTCAGTCACATAGAAAAAGAATTTTTTTTAGATACGAACATATTTTGTATGATTCAAACACTACCAACAAGTCACAATAAAGTTACATAAAAAAAATCTTAGGAGCACATCTATAAATGGACTCTTTCAAACTACAATGAGATGACATTGTATAATGAGACTTGTTTCCTTTTGCATAAAACTATATGCCTAAAGCCACAATGCTCTTTGGATGCTTCCCCAGAAGTTAGCTCATATAGGAACTGGTGCTGTGGTACAGCAGGTTAAGTCTCAACCCATAACACATGCATCCCATATGGCTCCCAGCGGCTCCACATGTCTGACTGTGCACCTGGGAAAAAAGTAAAAAGTGGCTCAAAGTCCCTGAGCCCCTGCACTCATTGTAGGAGAACTGGAAGAAACTCCAGGTTTTGGATGAGCTCAGCCCCAGATGCTGAGGCAGCAAATGAAAAATCTCTCTCTCTCTCCCCCCACATCTAAATAAACAAATAAATCTTAATAATAATAAAACACACGGAGTAATAAAACACACACGGAGTTTGACTTTGGTGGCTCAAGTGACAGCAGCCCTCCACAGTGGTGGCAGCATGCTGTGGAGAGTACCTGAGCCAGATTGGACCCAAAGCCAGGTCGGACTCGGCCCTTGGGCACCATCGCCATGCGGTGAGAGAGTCCTTGGTTTTTGGTGGCCAGTGCGCCTACTGGGTGCCAGGCTCTGCCTGCTGACTGCCCAGCCGCAAGCTCTAGGGTTTTTAGGGTATGTTACTGCTGCCTAAGGGCATCCAGGGATAAGATCAATGTGAGTTTAGGGTAGGGATGAACCCTGTGTGACTTCCAGCAATGGGGTCACGGGACTTGCTGGCAAGCATGGGGACTGAGACCTAGTGGCTTGGAGGGGAGAGTCCAAAAGATCTATTTGGGCCAGACTGATTTACCAGTCCACATGGGAGGCCTGAGATGGGCTATTAGTGTAGAGCATCACTGAGTGCCACACCAGTCCACACGAAAGCTGTGGCTGGGGGCCTGTCTGGCAGGGCTAGGTACTAGTACCTGAGTGGTGGAACAGGGGATGGGTCACACTTGGCAGGGTCAAGACACTAACCAGCACGTGAGAGAACC